TTCTGGGCCATTCTGGCCACTTCTCTATTTTCACTCTTTTGAAGCACTTAAATGATGTTTAAGTAAAGTATAATTTTTCAGGGCTTAATTTCTGCACCTTACCAAAAACACTGATACCATTTAGGACCAGTTAAGATTTGTTCAAAGTTCAACAGTATTTAACAATGCCTTTACAGTTTTATTGACAAAGGGTATGAATAATTTTGAGTGAGTCAAAATACAAATAAAGTTATTGCTTTTTTGTTATACAAATGAGGTTGTACAAAACTCATTCAGAATTTTTACCTTTCAAGTAAATGTATCCAACTACGGCCAAAATATTCTGTATCCACCTGTTGTTTTCCAGAAAAACACAAAACATTGAAATTTCAGTAGGGGTATGAATAATTCTGTTTTTAACTATATGTTTACCAACAAATTGGTGAAAATTTCAATTCTCCTCATTGAAATGGTGAATTTTAAATCTTGTTGATGAAGCAGTAAAAATTTTGATAATCAAGAATATACCCATTTTCAACAATAAGTATGCATAAAGGGGGTATGGTGATCAGATAGACTGACGCATGCACACCTGTACTGCCTGAGTGCATACTTTGCGGTATCCTTGCGACAACGAGTATATTGTTTTTGGTGTCAGATTATAATATATTACTGATCAAATATGGCTGTCTGTGCCAGAGTGCAGGGGATCTTTTGTCTAATGTTAGGAAGGCAAACATTCTCCTTTTGCAAGAGCACATACCTGGTCCATGCACTCTTCACTGGACTGCAAAATACCCTTGGATGTTTTTATTCTAAACCATTTATCGAATTTGCGTGAAAATTAAAGCATGTTATAAAACTTCTCATGACTGCAAAATACCACAGACTTGTGGGGACAATATAGCAATATAATCTAGTTGTGCCGGCAAAAACATTTCACAAAGTAGCAAGTGCATATACTCATTCATTTACACAGTGCAGGGTGCATCTTAATGGCAATATCACACAGTTGTAACTGTTTCTCAAAGCAGCCAGATAATTATAATTTATGCACACCCGATTCCATCAATCAAAATTCCATAGATCAGAGAGCGTTAATTCTTGCAATTCATCTGTGACATCATCACTATTGCCTAGTAACAAAAAATATAATATGAAGTATGTTACATTTGTTAATCTGATAAGGTTACATTAAATTGATGATTTTATTTTCAATGAGTAATATAAATCCATCTGTGACAACAAAATATTAACTGCTACAAAATATCCCAATTTTCTATGATTCATATTCTGTAAAATATTTTATTTTCACTTGGAATTAATTTTCATTATTTTCGCTGAAGTATTGATTCAGTAAAAATTAAATCCAGCACACATACCCTTTTTTTCCTATATTTTACATTCAACTCGCCAAAAAAACAGTGAAAATAAATTCCATACAAACACAATTCCAGCAAAAATAAAGTAATTTACAGTAGTTAAATCAGTATTCAGTATTTCATCATTTCTCAAGACCTCAATAGGATTTCTAATCAATCAGATGTACATTGATGATCGTCAAAGTAACAATTTGAAATGATTAAAGGGTAATAGTCATCAATACACATCATGAAAATAGCAAAAATGGCAAAATTAAAAGCCAGTGAACAGTTCATCTAAATCGATTTAATTTCACTTATCTGCAAAATTAAAACCCATGCAGTGAAGAAATAATATGTTCACAGTATACTGTAGAATACTTTATTTTCGCTTGGAATTTATTTTCGCTATTTTCACTGAAGGGATGATTCCGTGAAAATAAAATCCAGTGAATATACTTTTTTTCCTATATTTCACATTAAACTCATGAAAAAATCAGTGAAAATAAATTCCAAGCAAAACGCCCCAAAAGCCTTTTCAGCGAAAATTAATTCCAGCGAAAATAAAGTATTCCACAGTAATAAGTAACACATAACATTCACCTATCATAATACACTGACCTTTAACCTTTGGTAGATTGCTAGCATCACTGAGTGGAGCAACTGGGTGAAGTAACTGGACTAAGGTGTCATTTGGACGTTTCTTGGTTTGTTTGAAAAAGGGATGGTTAAGAAGAGCACTAGCAGTGGGTCTGAAATGAATGGAGAGGAGACTAGCATCAAATTGATATCGATAAAACGTGTTTGGGAGAAGCACTGTGGCTCCCTGTCCTAAGGATCACAGTGAGACTATAATTATAATTCATAATTTTCCCTCAACTCACAACATTCATGAATATTTGTCAGTAGCGAAATAAAAGTGGCTTGTACACTTGAGATAAAAGACTATCAATGTAAACAGCAAAGTTAGATATAATCATTCACACATATGCAATTTATAAGATATTGAGGCAAAATGATGGTGTATTTCTTTGGAATTCAATTCTCAACTAACTTATAGGTAAGTTTTTTCAAAGTTTACAAAAAAGAAAGAAAATCAACAGTACGAATGAGATGTACATATGTTTCAACTTTATATCCTGCATAAAGATTTAATTTAATAATAATAATAATAATAATAATAATAATAATAATCATTTAATAATAATAATAATAATAATCATGTATTTTATGGATAGTTCCAAACTCCTTAGTTCATGATCGATATAAGGATTCCTGGAGTATTCCAAACATGAATTCTGGATTAATAAAACTATTGATATATTGATAATACAAGGGCTGTGTCTAGACTACAAGTACATATACCCCCATACTGTAAATAGATCAAATTTCAGAATTCTAGTGCGAGAGTAAGGTGTACGTATAAAAGGAAAGATGGTGACCAGATTATGCAAATTACACTCCATCGTGAGGTTTCTGATTTTTCTGTTGTATATCATCATGAATATTTATAGAATACAATTTTGATGTTGGTTAGGTAGCCGGGCAATATTTAAGCACAAATTTCATCTGAAAGTTGAAAGAAGGTATGTTTTCAACAGCCATGCAAATCTTCAAAATGTCTGTCAATCACAAGTTTATTCACATCATTTTATTGAAATCAAAGTGTTAATCCAAACTATTAGTAAAAGATGTTTTAGCACATTAGTAGTAACGGTTGAATACACAATTAACAATGGGAAGGTCAAACAAATTACCCACAATGCACTGGTGCAACCCTGGGAATTGAGGAGCTAGATTGTAATTGTGACACATCTTCAACAAAGTAACAATTATTTGTTGTATTCTCTGTGAATATCATCTCAAATTGATAAATCAAAGATATTGGTGGGGGATAAAACAGACTAAGGTACCAACCTGTCATCAGGATCACTCTTTACACATAGCTCCACAAAATTATGGAAATTCTGAGAAAAAGTTCTGTTGAAAGGACTGTTAGGATCATTGTTTTTATAGACACTAGACGCAGCCATACTGCTTCCAAGACCACTGTCAGCAGCACCGGAACTTTCATTCATAAGCTGGTCTTCAACAAGACATGCTGTTGTACTGTCTAAAAGTCTGGGTGTTGTACCATTGATTTTTTCTAACAGCATCTGGAAGACAATTGTACAACGAAATAAATAAATAAAGCCTGGCATAAAAAAAGTGTAAACAAATTTTGTCCCAATCTCTTTTAATAATAGACAATTAAAAATATGTTATACACATTTGATTATGGTCAATTTTGATGAAGTAAGGGTATCTCAATACAACTGGACTTTTTTAAACAAGGGAACAGCAGTGCAACGCCCTCATGCCATGGCCATGCACCCCCTTACACTGATTGACCAGGGATCACATGTGGCCACAGTCTTCAACTGTGACCTGTCTGATAGTAATTTTGGCCCCAAGGAAGCCAAAGAATGCTCTTAAATGCCGCTAAATTGCAGTGTTCCTTCTTGCAGTTTTTTTTTTCTAGAAAAACCCCTGCACAATAATCTCTTCTCAATGATCGGCATTTTGACAATGAACTATAAAATAACACATACAAATTAAAAATCAAATTATTTGATTTTTGAGCCAGACGTTCAGTCGGCGCCTTTCATGCAATACACAAGTTCTCACAGTGAACGAAAAATCACCTATTAGAAATGTTCACAGGTGTTGACAAATGGAGGGCTAGATCTCTTTGTAAATATTTCTTATAATATATACTAAACATGTGTTCTGTTCATGTTCAAACATGTGTTCTGCAGTGGTTTATACTTAACTTGACGTTCACACCTATTCACCTACTATTGTGTTGCCAAAGGAGGGCATTGTTTTATGACATACAAATACCCATAACTTCTTTGAAAATTTGGGGCCGGATGGACAAAATTTCCAAACGGGTAAAGATCTTGATCAATTTTTTTGCAAAAAAAAAAAAAGTGATGCTGGATTATTTTGTGAAAGGCGACAAAAGGGGACTTTTGTATTCAAAAGGTTAACGAACTTTGAACATGTATATTTCCTGTTAAGTATTAATTAAAGAAGTCCTAAAGGGTTGCTAACAGTAACACAGAATGACAATTCAGCTTACAAGTGCAGAACATGTATTATTTAATACAGGAAATAGGGACCTACAGATTACATGCATTTGTACTAATCTCACCTTGGGAATAAATCACCAGTAAAGATATTAAATCTAGAAAAAATGATTGTAACTTTTCATTTTGAAAGAAAAATATCCTATTTGCTCTGTTAGCAATGCATATACTTGTGTATATGATGAAGGTCTGTCTGCAGTCAAAAAAAGTCATATTTTTACGATCCAATGTACAATACCGTATTTGCGTATTAGAAGCGCATCCCTAATAGTAATGCATTCAAATCAAAAATTGCATTGGCTGTATATGAAATCATTAAAATATTATTTATTTTGACCATAGAAAAATCTGTAATTTATGTAAGCACATGCACTACCATAAGAACAAATATGGTATATGCAAATTTTGGTTTGTGTGCATTTCAATTAGAGATGAGCTTCTATTGAAATAAATACAGCATTTGGTTTTTTACATAAAGATGATTTTATTTTTAGTCTCTTCATGCAGTTTCCTCATGCATCCAGCAAACTACTATATGGTCCCTATAAGTAATGAACCGTTTACTTTGAACATCGTTTGATACAAATGTGACAGGTTATTACAGACATATTTTTTTATATATACATTGTATTTATGAGAAGGTGTTGGAGAGAAAGCATTATATAATGACAGTAGTTTGTCTATGGTCAAAATAAAATATATTTTAATGATGCAATATATAATAAATGCAATTTTTGGTTTATGTGTGCATATCTGAAATATGGATATGCGCTTCTAAAAAAGCAAATACCGTTTTAGCATGGATAGCTGTTTTTTTTTTTAAATCATGGAATATATTTGTATTTGACAATTATAAAATTTCCTACACAGCGTCCACACTAGGTTTCAGGTCTACGTACAGAGATTGAAAAACAACATGCAGAGTGTGCACACTAGTATTACAAAACCTACGTACATAGAATGAAAAACAACATGCAGAGTGTGCACACTAGTATTACAAAACCTACGTACATAGAATGAAAAACAACATGCAGAGTGTGCACACTAGTATTACAAAACCTACGTACATAGAATGAAAAACAACATGCAGAGTGTGCACACTAGTATTACAAAACCTACGTACATAGAATGACAAACAACATGCAGAGTGTGCACACTAGTATTACAAAACCTACGTACATAGAATGAAAAACAACATGCAGAGTGTGCACACTAGTATTACAAAACCTACGTACATAGAATGAAAAACAACATGCAGAGTGTGCACACTAGTATTACAAAACCTACGTACATAGAATGACAAACAACATGCAGAGTGTGCACACTAGTATTACAAAACCTACGTACATAGAATGACAAACAACATGCAGAGTGTGCACACTAGTATTACAAAACCTACGTACATAGAATGACAAACAACATGCAGAGTGTGCACACTAGTATTACAAAACCTACGTACATAGAATGAAAAACAACATGCAGAGTGTGCACACTAGTATTACAAAACCTACGTACATAGAATGAAAAACAACATGCAGAGTGTGCACACTAGTATTACAAAACCTGTATTAAAGCCGATGGGAAGTTATGTACATTTAGAGAAAAATAACCAAAAAATATTGAAAAAAAAACATTAAAATGTAAATGCACATTGCACCAAAGCTGTCTTCAAGGAAATAATAAGCTAAATACTGAACAGCAGCACATTTGTCTGACCAAAGAAATGAATCAGCCATACAGCATTGAGCTGATCAGCATGGAAGGGATCAATAAGCTCTCATCATTTCATGTTGGTTTTTCTTACCACCGACAGAGTTTAAATATTTTTTAAATAAATATGTTCTCAGAGTAGACACTGAGACACAGGCCTTACTCACTGTTTCACTCATGATAGTATTATTTTTTATGTTCTTTTTTAAAATAATACAGGAAATTCAACCATTATATATACTACTGTAAACCACTTATATTTTTGTAAGACAGGGATAGGGAAAGTTGTGAATATTTTGTAGCAGTGAAACAGCAAACAACAGCCAAAAAACCGGGTTTTAACCACTCAAATAGTGTGCCATTGTCTTACATCATTGTGTCCACTGTTTCCTAGATTTGTGTATGGTATTTG